GCTCTTCATTTCCTGGTTAGCAGAATCTAATACTTACAAACGCAGTTCTTTCAAAAGCTAATGGTTTTAATCAAACTTTAAAACCAAATCCTTTGTAAATTCTTTCATTCTGTTTATCTCCTACAACCATAAAAGTAGCAACTCCACAGTCATGTGTTCTAGATGTACTCTTGATGTGCCAGTGTCCTTGTTGATATCCTGCTTCATTGCAAAATTTCATCAGTAATTTGTTCATATGAATCTTTTCCCTTTTGTTCAAATTGGACTGGAAGACACATTTCTACTGCACTTTATGATTCTCACTGACATATGCTGTGATGAAAAATTTCAGAGCCATGTTCTTTTCTACTTCAGTATCAAAAATTTTTGCTGTAATGTGAAGGAATCAAATCACTTAAAAAAAATAGTATCTTTTACAGAAGAGGTTAAAATCTCTCATATTCACCACTGTTTTAATGGATGTCTGGCTTCCAGGCCCTCTTAGTGAAATTTCCAGCTCTGTTGCATGCAGATACCCAAGAAACTTCTCTTGGAGGCATCATCAAAATGCTAAAGAGAGAGTTTATTTTGTTCCACTCATCGGGTGCTGCCTGAACTAGGAAGAACACAAAAACATCCTTTTCCACATGACACAGTCATCCTGTTCCTAGCTTGCTATTGACTCTATCCAAAATGAAACCATTAACTTCTAATTTATTTATTCAGTCAAGCCTGGAGTTAATCTGCTTAGCAAGAAAAAAAATAAAAAGACAAATAAACAAAAAACGTATTTTCCAAGACAAAGAATTCAGCATGCAGCACTATTTCAAACAATTCAGACTAAATATGACAGAAATATATTTTTGTGCAGTGATTGTGTACACAGAAGGAGAACCGTAGCTGAGTCAGAAGATACTGCAGGCTGGTCAAGGATATGTGAGTTATAACTGACATTTTTCGAGTATGTCAGAAATGCACTCAGTAAGAGCATATGCCCAGTAAACTAAGCACCCTTTGCAGATTACTGGATTTTAAGGCTAAAAGTGATGGTTAGATTCCTTAGTTCACTCTCTGCTATCTTTCCAACCAGAGAATTTCCAACCATTACTTCCGCATATTTTAGAAGATGCAGGAGTAGCAAATAACTTCTATATAGTTAGAGAAAGCCTCCCAGAAAGGCACTCGGTTATGTTTTGAAAACTTCAAAACCCAGAATGCCTTTCACTTCCCTTGGCACTTTTCCAAATACATAATCACCAACACCATTAAGAAGTTGAGTTCAGTTTCTAATCTGAATGTGTCTGGATTCAGCTCCCAGCTACGGTGGGTTTTCTCTACTTTTAAGACTCTGTATTTTATCCCCATAAGGAGGCTTCCTCACTACAATCAAATTGCCTCTTGATCTGCCTTTTTGAAAAACAAATTATACTTTTTTTCAGGGTTATTTTTCAGTAAGATTGCTGTACTGATCTTGCTAATAGTGCAGTCCTGCAAACACAACACAGGTCAGAGTGGACTGCAGAAGAGTAGTAGAAATAAGCAATTGAGGAAGGACTTCTTAAACTCATTTTGAAGACAAGGAAGTACGCATGGAAGAGAGATTTTCACCCACTGTGTGCTACGTCTCCAGGCCTCCCATAACATTTGCTGTTCTTCACATCTGATACAAGCTCACCTATTACAAATATCAATGCCTACAACAGAATAGTCTCATACAGTTCTTGAGTACTTAAAACCTCCACCCATTTACTGAGATACGTCAGATAGCTACATGTGAACCCAAATAACATGTCTTCTATTATAATCATAGAAACATAGAATCATAGAATGGTTTTGGGTCAGAAGGGACCTTAAAGTTCATCTAGTCCCACCCCCCTGCCACCCCCCTCCCTCCACTAGGACCAGGTTGCTCAAAGCCTCATCCAGCCTGGCCTTGAACACTCCCAGGGATGGGGCATCCACAGCTTCTCTGGGCAACCTGTTGCAGTGCCTCATCACCGCCTCCGGGAAGAATTTCTCCCTGACA